CACTAATGACAACTCGTACTCTTTCCGTAACCCCTTAAGGACACATGACATGTGTGACATGTCATGATTCCCTTTTATTCCAGAAGTTTGGTCCTTAAGGGGTTAAGCCAATGTTCTACCCAAGAACAAGAATATTCATCTAGATCAATTTCTTTTAGTTTGAAGACTAACCTATTGTGAGGAACCGTATCAAATGCCTTGGAAAAATCCAAGTAGATCACATCCACTGCAACACCCTGATCTATACTTCTACTTACTTCTTCGTAGAATGCAATTAGGTTAGTTTGACATGACCTATGTTTCATAAAACCATGCTGATTATTGCTAGTAACACAGTTCTTCCCAATGAATTCCTGAATATTATCCCTTAATAGCCATCAAATATTTTCCCTGTCACAGAAGTTAAGCTCACAGGTCTATAATTTCCAGGCAAGGATTTTGAACTCTTTTAAATGTAGGAACAACATCTGCCTTCCTCCAATCCTCCAGTACAATACCTGAAACAAAATAATCTTGAAAAATTAAATACAGAGGTTCACTTATTTCCCCACTTAGCTTCTTAAGTACTCGTGGGTGGATACGGTCAGGCCCCGGAGCTTTATTTACATGAATTTTCTTTAATAGCTGTAGCACCTTGTCTCGAGTTATCCAATCACAAGTTATCTGCAAGTTTGTTGCCACAATCATTTGCTTATCTCTTGTCATAGGACCCTCATTAATATATACTGAAGAAAAATAGTTACTTAAAATTTCTGCATTTTCCTGGTCTTCATTGACTAATAGACCCATCTCTGTTTTCAGTGTACCTACACTTTCATTTTTTTTTTTTTTTTTAGAATTGATTTACTTGCAAAAAGGCAATTAAAGTGGCTAAACTAGAAAATGAGAAATTGATAGCCAAAGAATGCAAAAGCAACCCCCAAAAATATTTCAAGTATTATTGGCTTCCTTATATCTTATAAAGGATGCCTCTGATTTGTCTGATTTAAATGCTTTAAATGCCCATTTCTTATTTTTAATCTCTTGTTTTACTTCTCTACTAAGCCACATTGGTTTTAATTTGTTTCTTTTATATTACCCAATGGTACATACTGAGAAATGTACCTTTCTAATATTTGTTTGAATAGATTCCATGTTTCCTCAGTGTTTTTATCACTAAGGAGTTTATGCCAGTCGATATGTTGTAGAGCTGCCCTAATCTTATTAAAATTGGCTTTTTTTAAATTATACGTTTTAATATACCCCACGTGCTTTTGCTTTTTGAGTTTATTACAAAAAAAAAGTTACCATATTGTGATCACTATTTCCCAAACGCTCCCCTACTTAAATGTTGGTTAAAAGATCAACATTGTTTGTAATAACGAGATCCCGACAAGCATCCTTTCTAGTTGGTGCTTGTACCAGTTATGACATAAAGGTGTCATTTAACACATTCAAAAACCGGATTCCCCTTGCTATAGTACTAGTTCCTCTATCCCAATTTATGTCTGGGTAATTAAAATCTCCAATAATTAACGTGTTACCCCAATTTGCAGCTTTCCCAATTTGCTCAAACAGCAGTTCTTCCTCATTAATATTTACATTTGGTGGTTTATAACATATCCCAACCAATAATTTACTTCCCTTTGTTTGCCCCAAGCAGATATCTACCCATAATGCTTCCACATTTTCCTCGTCACACTCCACATGCCTAAGATTTGACTTTAACTCATGGCTGACATGCAAACATACACCACCACCCTTCTTGTTTTTCCTATCCTTCCTAAATAACGTGTACCCATTTAAATTAACTGCCCAGTCATGTGTCTCATCCCACCATGTTTCTGCTATGCCTATTATATCATATTGTTTAGTGTATGCAATAGCCTTTAGTTCCCCCATTTTGTTATATAGGCACCTTGCATTAGTAAGCATACATTTAATATCATCATGAGTCATTTGTACTATTTGTGAATTATCAATATTACATACCTCCTCTGTTCTGAGCTTTCCCCTCCCCCCATCTCCACCCCCTTTGTTCTGAGCTAAAGCCCATCTCATTTCTACCCTTTCTCAATTTTCTATATTGCTTTGACCCTCCCCCCACCCACTACTAGTTTAAAATCTCCTCCACCCTTCTAGTCATCCTATCCCCCAGCACAGCAGACCCTCTTCCGTTAAGGTGCAATCCATCACAACTATACAGGTTGTACCCAAGCGCAAAATCGTCCCAGTGCTCTAAAAACCCCAAACCCTCTTCCCTGCACCAAGACTTCAGCCACGCATTGACCTCTCTAATCTCCCACTGCCTTCCTGCTGTAGCGCGGGGCCCAGGTAATATTTCTGAAAATATTACCTTGGAGGTCCTTTTCTTTAGCTGACTTCCTAGATCCCTGAACTGACTCCTTTAGGACCTTCCATTTTCCTCTGACTTTGTCATTGGTACCAATATGGACCATGACAGCTGGGTCATCCCCAGCCCCTCCTAATAATCTCTCCACTCTGTCGGCAACATACCGGACCCGAGCACCCGGGAGACAGCAAACTGTCCGGTTGAGTCGATCAGAGTGGCAGCTGCTCTGGGCCCCCAGGAGCAACTGGGCCCGGGGCAGCTGCCCCATTTGCCCCGCGTTAAACACGGCCCTGACACTTAGTAAAACTTGTAATCTTGCCAGCACTCATCCCCAGTTACAAAAACACACAAGTGAGCAAAAACAATATTTACCCTCTTGGTTTAAACTCCCTTGTAGTTTCAACTCCTGTTTTAACTCCTACTTAACCCCTTAAGGACCAAACCACTGGAATAAAATGGAATCATGACATATCAGACATGTCATGTGTCCTTAAGGGGTTAAAAGAGACTACTTGAAATAGCCTACTTTCAAGCAAACTCCAGTGAGCAAGCTCTGTGAGTCAGTAGTGGGTTTATATTGGTAATACAAATCCCACACAGGTCGAAATTAAGTGGCACTCCCCCTAATTTGCGGTTTATATTCCTCTCCCTGTGGGTGCTGCTGCTGAGCTAGAGAGGAAGACAAAAAAAAAAAAAGTCAAAGTTTAAATAAACCCAGCAAAAAATAAAAATATATTATATTACTCAAGATTACCTGGTAGCCAAATTGGATGCTTAATTGACCTCTATTACTAAGCAGATAAATAGCTTTACTGCAATTAAAATGGAGCTAACAGATTTAAGTAAAAAGGTAACCTCTGTTGAAGTGGAAATGACCAAGATGGATGAACAACTTACCACGCCGCAAGGAGCAAATAACGAAATAGACAAACTATCAAATAAATCTGAAGCTTAGAGACCTGGAAGACCGAGCAAGACACTGCAATGTGAGGTTTAGGGATATTCCAGAAGTCATCACGCAGGACCAATTAAAAAAGAGTTCTTACTTTCCTATTTTCAAGAATTAGGCCTAACTATAGAAGATCAGCATCCTATACTGTAAAGAATACACTGATTGATGAAACCAAAGTATGTCCCATCTCAACAACCAAGAGACATTGTAGCAAGTTTCCCTTCATATTCCTATAAAGAACAACTGGTGAATATCCATAGAAACAAAGGAACTCTGTCTGACCAATAAAGATAGTTAAATCTTTCAAGACCTTTCACTACAAACAAGGCTATGGAGAAAGACATTTCATCAATCCCTGGAACTTCTTAAACAACATGCAACCAGATATAGATGGGGCTACCCTTCAAAATTATTGGTTTGGTGGAGAGACAAGTGGCTTACTTTTGATTCCCATACAAACCGAGAATCCTGGACTAAAAACCATATTCCCATAAAGATAAAAGTTTGCAATACTAAGATTTTAGATTGGGTGTTGGCTATATGAAAAGGGGAGCAAATATGCGGGACACATATGAGGATGTATATTCCAACATTATTCTATATATCTGGTAGACATAATAGAGATAGGAGGGCTAATAACATAGGGTGTTTAGTGCCATCACATATACAAGAAAAAAAAAAACAAGTCATAGAGAAATGTAATAGGGATAAATAATTATTAACAATAGGAAATAGAAATTGGGAAGTGGTTCTTAAGATTGGAGGTGGATACACATAAAAGGCCTTTTTTTCCTTTTTTTTCCCTTCTTCTTTAAAAATCTATAAGGCTCATGCGTTAACCGCATGTCACTAAGCTTTGGTACACTTACTAATATGGACAAAGGAGTACTTGCGTTAGAGAGTGTTACAAGATAGAGCTGTTATTTTTCTTTATTTGTTTATTTTATTTAGCTACTTATATACTTATTTCCCTCCAGTCACTTATATACTTATTTCCCTCTAGGTTGCCTATTGTGGCATACTGTCCTTACAGAATATAAGTAGATAGTATTATATACACCTTTTTTTATTATACATTTTATTTCTCCCCATTTTCTTTTTGCACTCACAATTTAGCACCATTTCTGCTATATTTGCAGATCACCAAGAGTAGTACACTTAGAGACAAATTAATATTCACGCTGCAGCAATCGAGACTAAATAGAGATACACAGGATAGGGCTGATGATGCACATAAAATGAAAAGGGGGGTAGGAAGTAAAGGAGAAAAAGGGAAAAGGGACAAAGGGACATCAGCATTTAACCCCTTAAGGAAGGCGGGTGTTCTATGCCGTCCTTAAGGAACCGGCTCTAAATGCCAGAGGGTGGCATAGAATGTCCCCGAAGAATGTCCCCCTCTGTCCACTTCATCCCCCCTGGACCATGTGATTGCGAGGTACTTGCAAGGAACTCGCAATCACAAGGACGGCATAGCTGTCCAAGGTATTGCCAACAGGGGGAGTGCCTGTAATGACAGTTACTCCCCCTGCTGCCTGTAAAAAGAAAAAAAAAAAAGTTAAAGTTACAGTTTAAAATAATATATACGGGGGGCGTGGCCCGACACCTGACTGAATGGACGCTTTCTAACGAGGCTCCTGCAGAACGGGTGCCAAAGGGCTGAAAATAACTGGTCTAATTAGCGAAACGGAATATAAAATTCCTCACAATACTGCTAAGATGTCCCAGAGACAAAAAGCTAAAGCAGCAAAAGCGGATAGAGCATCCTTCTTTCTGGTAAAACCAGCCACAGCACTGACGCGGAAAGGCCGCAGCCCAACTAAAGATGGTGGCGACACTCGCTCGGAAGAGGAGCCCCCTCCGTCTCCCGAAAAATGGATGGACGAGTTTGTGAAAGCCCACAACAGCCTCGCGGATAAACTGCAAGAAATAGATTCCACCCTACACGACCAAGCACTGAAAAGGGCCGACATGGAGGACCGATCAAGACACAACAATCTGCGTATACGCGGCATCCCGGAATCGGTCCTAAACCCGGCTCTGCACAACTATTTGCTGGATATGTTCCAGGCGCTGACACCGGAGACTCATCCAGACCAGCTCATCATTGATTGGGCGCACAGACTGAGGAGACCTAAACATCTCCCCAACTCGACCGCGAGAGATGTCATCGTTAGGGTTCACTTCTACCACGCTAGAGAGGTTGTCAGAGCCTTACCAAGGCCTAAAAATCTTTACGGACTTGTCGGCGGCAACCCTACAGTTCCGCAAAAGCCTGACACCTCTCACGACCACATTGCGCTTACAAGGGATTGCATACCACTAGGGTTACCCGGCAAAGCTATTAATTCATTACTGGGACGCACTGCATGCTGTGGACTCATTGTCAGCGGGCAAGGAGAAATTCAGAAGCTGGGGCCTAGAGGCAACTGAGACAGGAGACAAGAATAAGGTGAAGATGCCCAGGATGTCCCCAGAGTGGACCCCGGCCTGAACCACAGACTCCACCAGGAACCAACTCTCCTCCACGCCGGAGAGGCACCAAGTATATCTATGTCTTAACTACTGCCACAATGTACGGACATTACTATACTTATTCTAATCTGTATGTTGAATTTGTTAATGTTTACGGGGCTCCAGTTATATACCGAGCGTACCTCAATAGTTACTAAGTTATAGATGAGGGAACTGAAGGGCTCTCGACCCCCAACCGAATATATGGGGCCCTCCGACCTCAGAAGGATCTTGGGGTTGAAAGGGCATCCCGAGAAAATAGCGGATTAAGCGATCTTAAATAGCTGTAAACATCCCTAGAGCCATGGATGAGCCAACCACTCCATCAGGCTCACGAATGTACCCCCCACCTGCGGTCAAGACTACCTTGGCGCAGTTCGGCTCTCCCAGATTGAGCCCAATTGGGGTTTCCACCCACTTCCCAGTACTCAACCTTTCCCTGTTATCTCTTCCTCCTGCCTACCCAGGTTTACCCCAGCAGACTCATGCTTAGTGCAGTACATAATACCCCGTAGCGGTTGAAAAGGGGAGACCAGAACGTACCCCTAACTCAGAGTGCATACCTAGTTCAAGCGGAACGACCCATTACTAGTGATGTCCCGAACGGTTCGCTGGCGAATAGTTCCTAGCGAACATCGCTTGTTCGCGTTCGCCACGGATGGCGAACATATGCGCTGTTCGGTCCACCCCCTATTCGCCATCATTGAGTAAACTTTGACCCTGTACCTCACAGTCAGCAGACACATTCCAGCCAATCAGCAGCAGACCCTCCCACCCAGCCCCTCCCACCTCCTGGACAGCATCCATTTTAGATTCATTGTAAAGCTGCATTCTTAGTGTAGCTGCTGCTGATTTGATAGGGAAATTGATAGCTTGGCTAGTGTATTCAGTGTCCACTACAGTCCTGAAGGACTCATCTGATCTCTGCTGTAAGGACAGCACCCCAAAAAGCCCTTTTTAGGGCTAGAACATCGGTCTGCTTTTTTTTCTGTGTAATGTAATTGCAGTTGCCTGCCTGCCAGCCTGTGTGTCAGGCTCACAGCGTATACTGTGCCCACTTGCCCAGTGCCACCACTCACTGGTGTCCCAATAGCTTGCATTTAAAGAGAAAAAAAAACAACTTTTTGGACTGTAATATAATAGCAGTCAGTTTCCTTCACGAGTGTGCGTTTCAGGGCCCGCCAGGGCAGAGTGTCACACCAGTGCAACTCATATCTGGTCTAACAGATACATTTTAAAAAATAAAATAAAATTTTGACTAATAGATTGAATAGCAGTTAGTTGTCTGCAAGCGTGTGTCAGGCCTACAGCGTCTACTCTGCCAACTTCTGCCACTGCACAGTGCCACTCATATCTGTTGTCACAGTAGCTTGCACGCATAGTACCACTAATCGAAAAAAAAATGACAGGCAGAGGCAGGCCACCCCGCAGGGGCCGTCGTGGTCGTGGTGCTGTGATTCCCTTTGGCCCTAGAATAATGCCCAGTGTTCAGAGGCCACGTACCCTGAACTCGAAAAGTTCTGAGGACATAGTTGACTGGCTAACACAGGACACCCAATCTTCTACAGCTTCCACTCAGAACCTTGATGCACCATCCTCCTCCAGCTTAGCTTCGGGCACCTCTCAAGTTACCACTCGCCCGCCTGCCGCCACCACCAACACTAGCACCACAGCAGCTTCACTTGGTATGTCAGAGGAGTTATTTACACATCAGTTGGAAGAAATGAGTGATGCGTAACCATTATTGCCAGAGGATGTAGATAACAGGCAGCATTACACACATGGACGTATGGCGTGATGATGATGTTGTACCTGCTGCTGCTTCCTTTGCTGAGTTGTCAGATACAAGTGAAGCGGTTGATGATGACGATGCGTCCGTGGATGTCGCGTGGGTGCCCGCTAGAAGAGAAGAAGAACAGGGGGAAAGTTCAGATGGGTAGACAGAGAGGAGGAGGAGGAGACGAGTTGGAAGCAGGGGGAGGTCATCGCACGAAGCTAGTGGCACAGTCAGACAGCATGCATCGGCACCCGGGGTCAGCCAGACAGCACGCCAATCAACGCATGCTGTTGCCACCACCAGAATGCAGTCATTGCAGAGCTCAGCAGTGTGGAATTTTTTTGTGTGTCTGCCTCTGACAACAGTGATGCCATTTGCAACCTGTGCCAAAAGAAACTGAGTCGTGGGAAGTCCAACACCACCCTAGGTACAACTGCTTTGCGAAGGCACATGATCGCACATCACAAATGCCCATGGGATCAACACATCAACTCCTCCTGGTCCAGCATCTTCAGCCACGTTAACCACTGCTGTCCTCCTTGCCCCCTCTCAACCATCCGCCCCTCCGTCTCTCGCCTTGAGCAGTTCCTGCTCATCTGCCCATAGTCAGGTGTCTGTCAAGGACATGTTTGAGCGTAAGAAGCCAATGTCACAAAGTCACCCCCTTGCCCGGCGTCTGACAGCTGGCTTGACTGAACTCTTAGCCCGCCAGCTTTTACCATACAAGCTGGTGGAGTCTGAGGCATTCAAAAAATTTGTAGCTATTGGGACACCGCAGTGGAAGGTACCCGGCTGAAATTTCTTTGCACAAAAGGCAATCCCTGTAACGAACGCTTACCTTTCCCCGCCGGTCCCGTGCAGCGCCGGGTCCTCCTCCGATACTTCCAGGGGGCGGCTCAGCTATTCTGACGCCGGACGCTCGGAACACGCCCACATGCTTGCCGACGTCAGAGTAAAAATGGCGCCAAAATTCAAACGTGGCCACGCTCCCGGACTTTTTGGGGGCGTGGCTACGAAATTAAAGCCAAAGAACCCACACTATAAAAGGGCTCTCATGACACTTGTCAGATGCCCTAGTGTGGTTCTTGTTTAAGTCCCCTGGTGCTATCTTATCTATTTGTCCTTCCTGGTATTTGACCCTTGGCTATCTCTCTGACTATTCTGTATTCTGATTTCCCTTATCTTGGCTTGGATAATCGTGTGCCTGTCTTCCGTATTCCCTTGACCTCTGGCTATTTCTTTGACTATTCTCAGACGCTAGTCCGGCCATTCTAAGGTCCGGTAACCGTCTTTCTGTGGGTTTCACGCTGTGTGAAGGGGTCACTGTCGTGACAATCCCCAACCTGTACTCGATTGTGCAAAAGGAAGTAATGGCATGTCTGGCACACAGTGTTGGGGCAAGGGTCCATCTGACCACTGATACCTGGTCTGCAAAGCATGGTCAGGGCAGGTATATCACCTACACTGCGCATTGGGTAAACCTGCTGATGGCTGCCAAGCATGGAATGCGTGGCTCTGCAGAGGAGTTGGTGACACCGCCACGACTTGCAGGCAGGCCTGCTGCCACCTCCTCTACTCCTCCTACTCCATCCTCTTCCATAACCTCCTCGGCTGAGTCCTCTTCTGCTGCTGCGTCTTGCTCCACATCAACGGCACCCCACCAGCTCCTCAGGTACCATTCCACATCCCGGATACGGCAGTGTCACGCCGTCTTGGGGTAGACTTGCCTGAAAGCAGAGAGTCACACCGGACCAGCATTCCTGTCCGCCCTGAACGCACAGGTGGACCAGTGGCTGACTCCGCACCAACTGGAGATCGGCAAAGTGGTTTGTGACAACAGAAGAAATTTGTTGGCGGCATTGCATTTGGGCAAGTTGACACATGTGTGTAATCTGATCGTACAACGCTTTGTGCATAAGTACCCAGGCTTACAGGACATCCTGAAGCAGGCCAGGAAGGTGTGTGGCCATTTCAGGCGTTCCTACACGGCCATGGCACACTTTTCAGATATCCAGCGGCGAAACAACATGCCAGTGAGGCGCTTGATTTGCGACAGCCCAACACGTTGGAATTCAACACTCCTAATGTTCGACCGCCTGCTCCAACAAGAAAAAGCCGTTAATGAATATTTGTATGACCGGGGTGCTAGGACAGCCTCTGCGGAGCTGGGAATTTTTTTGCCACGTTACTGGACGCTCATGCGCAATGCCTGTAGGCTCATGCGTCCTTTTGAGGAGGTGACAAACCTAGTCAGTCGCACCGAAGGCACCATCAGCGACATCATACCATTTGTTTTCTTCCTGGAGCGTGCCCTGCGAAGAGTGCTGGATCAGGCCGTAGATGAGCGTGAAGAGTAAGTTGTGGTCACCATCACCACCAGAAACAGCCTTATCAGCATCGCTTGCTGGACGAGGATTGTGAGGAAGAGAAGTCAGAGGAGGAATGTGGCTTTGATGAGGAGGAGGAAGACCAACCACAACAGGCATCCCAGGGTGCTCGTTGTCACCTATCTGGTACCCGTGGTGTTGTACGTGGCTGGGGGGAAGAACATATCTTCAGTGAGATCACGGAGGACGAGGAACAGGACATGAGTAGCTCAGCATCCAACCTTGTGCAAATGGGGTCTTTCATGCTGTCGTGCCTGTTGAGGGACCCTCGTATAAAAAGGCTGAAGGAGAACGACCTGTACTGGGTGTCCACGCTACTAGACCCCCGGTATAAGCAGAAAGTGCCTGAAATTTTACCGAATTATGGGAAAGATGCAGCAGTTCCAAAATCAATTAAAAAGTATGCTTTACACAGCGTATAAGGGTGATGTCACAGCACAACGGGAATCTAACAGGGGAAGAGGTGAAAGTAATCCTCCTCCTCCCATGACCACGCCGGCAAGGACAGGACGCTTTACAGACGTGTGGTTGATGGAGGACATGTGGAACTTTTTAAGTCCTACGCATCGCCACAGCCCTTCGGGGTCCACCCTCAGAGATCGACTCGACTGACAGGTAGCAGACTACCTCGCCTTAACTGCAGATATCGACACTCTGAGGAGCGATGAACCCCTTGGCTACTGGGTGTGCAGGCTTGACCTGTGGCCTGAGCTATCCCAATTTGCAATAGAACTTCTGGCCTGCCCCGCTTCAAG